AAGCCTCGTTTGAATAGCAGTCCATAGTCGAGAGTGCCTCTGATATATCGAAGAACTCGTTTAAGGCCTTTCAAATGAGTTAATTTCGCCTTGTTCTGGAAACGACTGTAATAGTTTATAGTAACACTTATGTCAGGACGTGTGTTGAGCATAAGAAACATCAGACATCCAACGAGCTCTCTATATGGTTTTATCTCGATTATGACTTCTCCGTCGTCGTTTTCTTGTTTTTCAGGATTTGCTTCCATGGGTGATTTGGAAGAATTGCACTCTGTCATTCCAAAGCGAGTGAGCATTTTTTCCATATATGCTCTCTGGCTCAAAAATATGCCTCTTGATGTTTGCTCGATTTTTATTCCGAGGAAACTTCCAATTTCACCAAGGTCCGTCATAGCGAATTCACTTTTAAGAGCATCAACAATCTCTTGAATCTGGATTTCATCTTGGCCTGCAATGATAATATCATCGACGTAAAGCAGTAGATACAGCCAACACCTTTTGGATGTTGCTATATAGAGACATCTCGTTCTGATCTCGTTCTGATCTTTTGAATTCTTTGCTTTGGTACATGTTTCTTAGGGTCAAAATGAACTCGTTCTGATCTTTTGAATTCTTTGCTTTGGTACATGTTTCTTAGGGTCAAAATGAACTCGTTGAATCGAGCATTCCATGCTCGTGGAGCTTGTTTCAGTCCGTAAGGAACGATTCAATTTACATACGAGGCCATTATCTTGGGTGAATCCTTGAGGTAACTTCATGTATATTTCTTCATCAATAGTTCCGTGTAGAAAAGCGTTTTTAACGTCTAGCTATCTAGTTTTTAGCCTGAGTTCGTTGACTATCGATAGAAGAATTCGCACCGTAGTGAGACGCGCAATTGGCGCATACGTTTCTTCGTAATCCAGGCCTCTTCGTTGAGAATATCCTTTCACTATCAGACGTGCCTTGTATTTGTCGATATTTCCGTCTTTATCCCTTTTTATCTTGAAAACCCATCTATTATCGATGACTTTTCTTTCAGGAGGCAATGGTATTAAATCCCAGGTTTTGTTTTCGACGAGAGATGTAATTTCTTCATTTATCCAATCACTGCCTTTAATCATCTCGTCCTTGTATGTCGTCAAAATGTTGTGGAACATCTTCGACAAAGGATTCTGCGCTGCGCTTAAAGCCAAGACAGTGTAGTCATTTAAATACTTGGGCTTGTTTTTCTGTCGTGAGCTCTTTCTTAAATGTCTGCTTCATCTTTGAGCGTTGTGTTTCTTCGATTATCGTCTTCTTCTTTAGCACTATCGAAGTACCCGGATTCTTCATCACTTGAGATATCTTGTTCTCCGCCTGAATTGGGAAACTCTTGATTCCTTGCTGCTTCTTCTGTAGACTTAAAATCATCATAAAAATCTTCAGACTCGGAAGTAAACTTTAACTCATTAAAAATAACGTCTCGACCTTGTAATATTTTACTACTTTCGACCACAGTCGATATCCGTTCGCACAATAATCTATTAGTCTGCAGCGTTTTGAACGTGATTCGAATTTTCGTTGATCAGTTCCTTTGGAATGTGAAGATGTGCAACGCATCCAAAAACCTTCAGTTTCCGAAGATTGGGTTTTTCTCCATACCAGAGTTCCGCTGGCAGCTTGCCTTTCACAGCGTTCGTTGGGCATCAATTGATTAAGTAAACAGCCGCTATTACAGTCTCGGACCAAAAAATCTTACTCATTTTTTAATTCAAAATCATACAGCGCGCCTTTTCGATTATTGGCCGGTTCATCCTCTCCGCTACTCCGTTCTGTTGTGGCGTATAGGGAATCATGAGTTCGAATTGTATTCCGCAGTCCTCGAAATGTTGACGAATTCCAGTCGAGAGGTATGCCCTTCCATTGTCAAATCTGAATCTGCTTACTTTGAAATTAAAATGAGTTTCTGCCAATGATTGAAACATTTTGAAATGTTTGAGCACTTCTGATTTGGCTTTCAATGTGTACGCCACAGTAAAATGAGTGAAGTCATCAATAAAAGTAAGCAAATATCTTTTTCCGTCAAAGGACGTAACGTCCATTGGACCACAAAGATCACTTTGAACCAGTTCGAGAGGACGCTTTGCTCTGATGCGGTGAGATTGGTGAGGGAGGCGAGTCTGCTTGCCCTCCACACAGGTTTCGCAGAGCTCTAATGAAGTCTCCAATTCCTTCACATCTATTCCATCTGCCATGCTCACCATTTTCTTCAATCCGGAGCTGCTCAGATATCCTAAGCGACGGTGTCACAGTTGTGTTGTTTCACTGATCTTGCAGACATTCGCGGTTTCCGTTACGCTTTCAACACATAGTTCATACAGCTTGTCTTTATGACGCGCGATTGCGGCGACTTTGTCCCCTTTCTTAATGATTGATGATGAATTCCTTTACCGTCTTCAAAGATTACTGAAAAACCATTCATTTCAAGTTTACGAACTGAGAGAAGATTACATTCGAGTCCCGCTACCGATAAGATTCCAGTTATTACAATGTCACTAATTTTCCCGTTTACTCGCGCGCGTTCACTCTTAAGTTCCCGACTTTATTTGCAGTCAACACGTGATCCGACTTTGCAACGCGTATATTTATCGGCGTGGTTAATTTCCGCATGTTAATTAATTTTGTCTTTTCCATTGATAAGTGCTCAGTAGATCCGGAATCTAAAACAAAATTTACGTTTGACACGCTACTGTCACTTCCATTTGAGAAAAACACAAAAGCCTTTTGATTTTTGTTACAGTTATCATCAACCGTGGCATTCGCCGTTTTCGAATTTTTATCTTCGTTTTTCAATTTCCGACACTCGGACCGTTTGTGTCCAACTATGCCGCAGTGGTGACATCTGTAGTCAAACCGAGTACGTCTCGTTCCCGCGCTATTCCCGTTCGAATTAACACTTCGTTATTGTTCGCGTTTCGATTTCCGGTTGAGTTCGCGTTCCGATTTCCTTGCGCTTATTCGTCGTAGCTGAGAACATGGTAGACGAACTTCCACCCATTGAATCTGTGCTGCCACCTCGCTTCGCTTCTTCATCCAATAACCTCGTTTTGACGAAGCTAAGAGTTAACTGTCCACTTGACATTGTTTCGAGGGCTGTTACGACCATATCGTACTCTTCGAGCATTGTTAACAATAGATGGCACACGATATCAATTTCTTCTATCTTAGCACCGGTCGATTTCAACTCCCGAACAAGCTTGTCGAACTTCAAAAAATGAGATGCCATGAATTCCGTTGGCGCGTACGCATGGTCAAGAGTGTTTTTCTAAGACGAAGTTGGCTCGAGACACCTGTACGCTCGAAACTATCCGAAAGAGCCTTCCACATGTCATACGCTGTATATTTCTCCTTCATGTACTCGAGATGATTATCTGAGATACGTTGAGTAATAAGCGACTTACATTTTTTGTCATTTCTTTTCAAGACAGGAGTTTGAGCGGCTGCGATTGCCGCCGGTAGCTTTGCTATTAATGTATTAAGCTCTTCACCGACTAGATCAAAGAGATCATGTTCCTCAAGTAGAATCTGCATACGAAACTTTCAGTTACTGTAGTTGCTTCCATCAAAGAGTGGCACTTTGTACTTTTCATCATCAGCCATTTTTGTCGCACTTTCGCACACGCGTTGTTTCTCAAAACTTTTCCGACTCGTGACTTACAAAGTTCATTCCGCGACTAAATTCCTTCTTCACACACGCAACTCTGGGTCCATAACCTGATGATGTTAGAGTAGCGAGGATAAGGAGTGGACGAAATAAGTTTTATCACAGATTCATTGAACTGTAATTTTAATATCCAGTAACTGTACGACTAGAGTCATGAAGCAAGAAAAATATATAAGAAACGAAACTAGAATTTAGAACATAGAATACATAGTGTAGCGAGAGAGGTTATACATTGCTCAATCTAACACTTCCGGCTAACTTCACAATATAAAAAAAATTAATTAAAATTAAACGAATAACTCACAAACCTTTTTAATTATACTTCAAAACTCTTCATATGAAATATAAACGATTCATAAGGAGAATTTTTAATATTTAGTTATGTTGGCTAACTACATACTGTAAAAATGATTAATTTTTTATAATTATTCTAATTATTCACAAACGTTTTTAATCACACTTCAAACATCTTCATACGAAATACAAATGATTCCATAAGAAGATTTTTGGTTGGCTGAACAATTTCCGATTAACTTAATACGAATGAATACTTGGTCTATATATATACCCTGCCGAAAATGGTCGATTAAAACCGATTAAAATAAAAAGTAATTCGAATCGATCGGGATTTCTGCACCGAAAATACGGTATTAAAACCGATTGAAAATATACTCTGCCGAAAATGGTTGATTAAAATCGATTAAAACAAAAAGTAATTCGAATCGATCGGGATTTCTGTATCAAAAACGATATTAAAGCGGATTGAAAATAGTCAAATTCTGGCGGATTAATGTTGGGTGATATACATCCATCTCAATCCGAAATTATACGATTTCATAAGTTATAGTTAAATCGGTTTTAATGCGTTGTGAATCTGTCGAAGGATGACAAAAATAATCCGTTGCTATTTGAAATTCTACGATTTTGCGGATTACATCGCGATAGACAATTAAAACAGTGTCAAATGTCTTGCTTATATTTCATGAAAATTTTATTTTAATTATCACATTCTACAAGAATACTGTCATATATTTTACGATACTGCTTGGTTGAGTTTCCTTTAACACATTAGTTTTAAAACCTTATAATAAACTCATATTATAATAAAACGTAAACTTATGATAAATGAATAACACATCATAACTGTATGGTATAAAACTTTAAGTAATACAAACAATTTGTATTAAAATTGGAAATAAAATCTTCAAAAACACAAAATTGTTTAAACATAAACAAAAACATTTTAACAAAAGAAACAATTTTTGTTTTACAGTACTATTCTTATACAATATTATTTCTATATATTTTTCTTTTTTTTAATTTAAAATACTTTCATACTGTTGAAAACTTGCAAAAGAAATTCGAAACACAACTGATATTTAAAAGAACAAACTTTTCTGACCATTACGATGAATGAATTTCGGGCGAGTAATCGTAAAGACAACTATCTTCGTCATCCTCAACATTTACGTCTTCCTCGCTTCGTTCGTCAGTCTCTTCGCTGCTTTTACTTTTCTTGCTTTTGTTTTATCGCTGTTTTGTCGTCGCTTTTTCGCATTTTCGTCAATGACTTTTTCACGCGAACCTTTCTTTAAATCAGCAAGTTTTTTTCCCACGTAATAATAAAATTTCAATAATTCTCTCATAGTATTGTCTTTGTGAGGAGCGTCAGCAAATTACTTTTTATACGTGTTATTTATCCAATGCTTGTATATATCTGTATGAACAAAAATAAAAATAACAAAAATACTTTAACTCAATACTATGTTCTTAAAAACAAAACATATTAAAATAACATAGTATTCTCAAACGATTAATTATAAAACGATTACCGATTACTAAAATATTCCATTGATTTTATTTAGAAATTATTAGTGATAAACGTTATATTCTTTTCGTCCAGTTTATTGCATGGTCTTTTTTCACCGTGTCGTGCACTAGTGTATCCTGTAATAGTGCTAGTCATGAGCAATTCATCGTCGAAAACAGGGAAAATAATGTTACTTGCAAATTGACGAGGAGTTTTCGACGAGTTGCACACTCTGTTATAGTGGATTTCACTAATCCACTCGTTTCGCCCAATGTGGATCTGTAGTGCATACATTTATTTTTATTACCACGACGAACAATTTTTATAAATAATACATGGAAAAGCCTGTACTCATTACCATCCCATTAGACTGTCTTGTCAAAATTGGTGGAAAATTATTTTCATACTGCATGTTGATATTGGCAGTCAATATGGTTTTCAGCGTTGCTGTAAAAATTAAAATATTTTGGTTATTTTTATCTATAATCATAACGATTAAAAAAAGTACAAGACTCTGCTCAGACAACACACATGTCTAAAAGATAACTAAAAGATGACTTAAAGATGTCTTATTGTCTTTTATATCTTTAAGATATCTTTTGATCTTTCTGTGTTATCTGGGTAGCCATACAGAATGTAATATCACTTATTAGTGCATTTATTATACTTCAAGAATTTCTGATACTTTTATAAACTGATAAGAAAGATAATGTATACACAATTTCTTACCTTCGCATTCGTCAGTTTTATCGATCAACGCCATTTGCAGTTGTTCGTTTAATTTTCTTACATTTTTCAACTCGGACATTGCTTCCTCCAGCTTTTGTTTTATTTCTTTACGTTCATTTCGTAATTTGTCATTGCGTTCCTGTAATTCTTCAATCCTTGATTGTAATTTCGAGGTTTTTGCAGGGAGCAATGATCTTTTTTTTAACTGCAAAAAATGAGTACAAAAATTTAAGTTATAAATGTATAATAGAGTATTACTACTATAGTAGAGTACTATGTATATTGCAGAGAGGAAAATGTATCCAATGTAAAGACATATGAGATAAAATAATTTTCATCAATATTTCAATGAAATATTTACAATATTTCGACTAAACATTTACTATAAGCTATTATGAAAATTAATTACAATAAAAAATAACTTTTTAGCTTTAAAATCTTGAACAACGTTAGTTATCTTCGCACAAAAATGTCGCAATGTATAAACGTTTAAAAACGACTTTTAGGGTCTTTTTGGGGTACACTGATTACAGTACTTAGAAAACAATGCATGATAAAATTATTATATACCTCTGAAATATGGTTGTCTACATCAGTGGTGCTTTCTTCATATTTAGACATCTAAAAAGACAGTGATATGAATTCCAATTGATCAATGCGTATGTAGCAAAAATAAATTGTTAATTACAATAATAAAATTAAATACATTAATGGTTTCAGAACAACATGTGGTCAAATTGCAGAAATTATTAATTATTAATTAAATATGTACCCTCGAATCATTCGTTTGTAATGGATCATTTTTCGAATCATTTGCTTGTAATGGATCGTTTTTGGAATCATTCGCGTGTAATGAATCGTTTTTCGAATCATTCGCTTGTAATGGATCGTTTTTCGAATCATTCGCTTGTAATGGATCGTTTTTCGAATCATTTGCTTGTAATGGATCGTTTTTCGAATCATTCGCTTGTAATGGATCGTTTTTCGAATCATTCGCTTGTAATGGATCGTTTTTCGAATCATTCGCTTGTAATGGATCGTTTTTCGAATCATTCGCTTGTAATGGATCGTTTTTCGAATCATTCGCTTGTAATGGATCGTTTTTCGAATCATTCACTTGTAATGGATCGTTTTTCGAATCGGTTTCTTCAAATTCAATCGTCTAAAAAATAACGTCACAGAATAAATAAGTTTAGTTTTTAATATTTACCTCTATTGTCATAGAATTAAATACCAATCTAAAACTACGTTTTTGCCTTCGCATTCATTTCAAATATTATTATTTATCTGAACATGCAAAAAATATATTGCAGTTATAAAAATAAATAATTATAAAAATAAATAAATTTATTAAGTTCTAATGATTTATTTGTAATATACTTAAAAATATTGTACAATACCTCCGAATTAATGCAGCCCCCTTCTAATGCTGGTTCTATACATTCCGACGACTGTGCCTCGGGAATTAGTGGATCCCAAAATCCTTTTAAGAAAAAAAAGATATTTTATATAACATTTTATACAATTATATACAATTGTATTTTATATAATGTATCATAAAAGTCATGAGAAATTATAATATAACATTATAAATATACCATCTGGTGTTTTAGGTCTCTCATACTTATGCCGCGCGCATTTATTTTTTCGCTTCTGCAATTTGTCTTTTGACAGTGATAAATTCTTGTAATACTAAAAGATTACATACAGAATTAGAAAAATTAATATACTTCTTTATAATGAAAATATTTCCTTTATGTGTACATATTTTGTGTAATTATATTTTGATATTACTTTTTCACATTCCCAGCAATCCCAACCATTTAGCTTTGCTCTGTCAGCTTTGCGTCGTATATCAATCTGCTCTGCCTCCTTGTTATACTTGATTGGAATTACAAGCCGAAATTGCTTCAATCAAAGTTTCCCATTGAAATTGCAATATATTTACACAGTTAAAATATTGATAGCAAAATATTCTACATTTTTTATATTCAATTTCGTATGATTTTAATATAAAAGTTGTCATCAAGCTTTAGAAAACAGAGCAGATGTAAGTCAATATATTAATTAGATTTAAAAACAGAATAATAAAAAAAAAGAAAAAGAGAGGAAAAACAAGAAACCAAAACAAGACAAAAAAGTAAAGTAAAATTAATTCCTAAAATTAAAAGCGTGTTTCTGTAAAAAAACTACAAAAAATGTTACAAAAAGATCGTAATTGAAAGTTAATAATAAATAAGAATAAGCGGGGCTCAGTGTTCGAAGCACAAATTGATACAGAATAAGTAAAATAATTTCATTTATCCCAAAGATCCTACTAATACAAAAAACTAACTATAATTTAATTATTTATAAGAAACATAAGAGAAATAATTAAGTAACACTATGTATTTTGATGAAAATACTTTGGAATATATGTACATAAAATTTGTTGCAAACATTTTATGTTATACCTGTTCATTAGCATTTTCATCGACATCTTTTATTGTAGGCGACTGTTTCGATAACTTTTCCAGTTTCACTGATAATACTTTTTCCAAAACCTTAAACATGAATGTCAATATATAAGATATATAATATAAAATAAAATAAAATAAAATTATTAACGATTCTGATTATTATTTATATAATATATTGTATATTATACGTATATTATACAATTTGAACATGAAAAATATAAACTTACGGAATTACTTTCTTGTGTACTTTTCGAAGATGGCATACTGTTAAGTGATGAATTAATGATTTCATCTAAGGATGATGAGCTACTCGATGCCGTTATCATCAAACGTTCCGGAATAGCAGGCAACCTTTTCAAAGTTTCCAGTCGCTTTTCGATATCATCTTTCGAGTCTGCAAAATAATAAATTACACGTTTCATGTCTGATTTAAAATAAAGAGGTATATATTAGTTTCATATTTTTAAACAAAATAATTTTGTTAAGAAATAAAATGTGCATTACATACCTTCTAATAACATAATTATTCCTAAGCACATTTTTTTCTTCACCTCCACGCGATACTTAACATTGTTTTTATGTGTGTTTATTGAAAAATTTCGGATTTCAGAGGTACGCACAATTATTTTTTTCCCTCTGTTAGGACCATCAAGGAGTTTCACATACGCGTACATTTTGTTCTTGTGTTATAAAAAAATTTTAACTTACAAAGAAAACAGTGAAATGTGTGTAAATATTGTAACGATCGACCTGGTATTACGAGATTAAGCGGTTTTCAGACAAAATCTATTCTGCACACATGCCGCAGAACATTTTGAGCAGCACGATGCTTCCCACTTCGCTGCATCGACTCGAGTCCTGATCCCCCGTCACGCGATGGAAGTGAATGACAGTCTTGACTCGCACGAGCCTGCGCGCACATGCTCGATCGGTTGTCGCTTGTCGCAACGGTCGCAATTCAAGCGCCCATAATCAAAGCGAAGTAGCCACTACACACGCAGACTGCCTAACATAACCGTAATCCAGGAATAAAGGTTACACGGGATAAAGATTAGTGATTCTTTACAATATATTATTACGAATGCCTATAATAACAGTGTAACATCGGATTATTGTCACACGAGTGTTATTGTTCGAAATACATACAGTTTTTGCAATTTGCGCCTTTCTTCGCTTATGATGAGCTCTTTCCATTTTTGTCGTTGCGGCGTTCTCAACTAAATTCAGATGCGGTGCAACAGGAACACGTGATTGAATTTTGTTCATGATTGAACTATATGTAGAAAATAAATAAATTCTACTATTTGCTGATGCACAATTAGTTCAGGTATGTGTTAAAAATAAGTTGTACATAATGTTTCACGCTGCATATACAATACTAAATTTAATATTTTATAATCACACATGCACAGATGAAAGTATATCAGATAGTATAACGACGATACCCCAACATGGAAAATCGTAAAAAAATAAGACGTTATAAAATGGTTTATACAAGAACTACGAAAAATTATACGAGTACAATGTATCTCCACGCACATCAGCAATATGGAAAACTCTTGCCATAGCTCGACATTGTAATATTGAAAGTAGGTAAATAATATAAATTCATAATCTACATATTATGAATTGTGCATTAATATGATTTTATTTTTTTGTAAAACGGTTTCTTTGAAAATGAAAACAGTACAATAATAGCTTATTTATTATGACTCAGTAAGCAAAATGTGCACAATATGCTAACAGATTGGCAACAAATTCATTTACTAATAATCGTAAATTTCTGTCACAAAATATTTTTTTCCCTAGAAGAATGTATATTTTTTTCATTTATTTTTTAAATAAATAGTATAATTGTTACATTATATTCAGTAATAATGTTATAGGATTGCAAATATTGTAAGTCGTAACACGTGTTGTTTGTTAGGAAATAATTTTTGCACCGGAATAATGTCTCATTCATCAGTTCTTATATATCAATATATATATCATACTTCTAATATATCAAAAAGTTAAGAAAATATGACATATGATATATACTTTCGCAATATTTTTTTCATTTCTGAAATACACTTTATTTACAACAATCACTTCATTTTTATAACTGGGTTTACTCTACATTACAATTCTAAATTATATAATTCTTATACAGATAATACTGGAGTCCATAAAGGCATCAGAAATGCTGCTTGTAGAGACGATTACAATAACATTGCCGAACAACTTGGGGATTGCAGCGAGAGATCTGATGCGAATGACATTACCATGCAGTATTCCCCATGTACGACAAAGACAGCAAGAAATAAAGGAGATAATGACGACACAATTAACAGTAATAAATTTAACAGTAGTGACATAGATTGCATCGACGATGAAAATGAAATAAATAACGAAGAAAGTATGGATAATAGAATAACGGACAACTGTGACAACAACGAAAGTGAAACGAGAAAAGAAAAAGATGACGAAGATAGTTATATTACCGGAAGCGATGTGGATAACAACGATGAATGTATTGAGGAGCAAACGAGTGAAGAAGACGATATCGCATTCGACGATACTGTATTATTTTCAGAGTCCAATTTGACAATACGAGACATAATGATAATAGTCGTCGCATTTTCACTCCGATTTAAGCTGTCAGACGTTGCAAAATCTGCGCTTATAAACATGATAAAATTATTGGCCGAGCCAAAATTCGAAAAAATTAATATTTCCAAATATACTTTAGCTAAAGCATTCGATCCACCAGACAGCAAAGTAGTTTATCACTATTTCTGCGACAAGTGTCATACCAAAATTCTGTATTCGACGTCGAGAAAAAAGTTTATAAAACAATCAATAACGTGTGACTCTTGTAAAAAAAAAACATGTAATTTCATTGAGATCCAATAATTACTTCATGTCAATTGATGTAAGATATCAGTTAGAAATGCTTTTTTCTCACGAAGCAATCAAAGCTGAGATATTCGATTTTATTTCATCAAAAAGTAATAGTCATGCCAATAACTTAAATACATATATAAAGCATATAAAAAATGCATAATTAGAGGCGTTGTATTTCACAGCCAGAAGTATCACAAAGCGAGAAGGACGAACGATACAATGATTCAGTTACATTCAGGCGAATATGGTCAAATAATACACATCATTCTATTAAATAATGAATGTCACATGCAAATATCAAAAATTACAATTAGTTCCAACAAACCGTTTAATATGTCGTACATGGATAGGATAGAATCAGAAGATTATGTACACAGCTCAATAGTTTCCATAAGCGATGTCAAAAGTAAAGTTATTCACATAGATGTAGGATATTGTAGATATTTATGCAAATCTCCGAATATATTTGAAATTCAATGATAAATAAAACTTTGTAATAAATATAATTTTGTTTCTTCATTTATATACACACAGTCGAATATAATATTTATGACAAAAATTCGATTTAATTGCATTAAATCCGATTTTATTTTCATCCGAAAAATCTTAGAATTTCAAATTAAAATAAATTACTGTTGCTTACACAAAAATTGGATTCTTATTGCATTAAAACCGATTTAGTTATTATCCCTGAAATCGGTGAATTTTGGATTAAACCGGATTACAATCAACTCAATTACTAAAAATTGGCTATTATTATAACGAATTAAAATTGCATACTAGGCGGATTATTTTGGATTATACATTAAATCCGATTATTCGTGTTTATTTAGATTGACAACAATATTAAAATGTAATGATTTCGGATTGGAAATAATTCGCGAAAGCGATATTAAAACCGATTGTAATTTGTTCGGAATTAAAATCGATTACTTTTGAATCCGGGCGCGGATTGAACCGATTAAAACCGATTAAAACGGATTATGTTTTAATCGGTTTTAATCGACCATTTTCGGCAGGGTATGTCGTTGGTGCTACAGCCTTAAAGCCTGCGGCACACCGTACGATTTTTCGTATTAGATCGCATGTGAACGTTTTAATTGACGTAATATTGATATTAAAGACTTGTCGAGTCATCGTAATGCTCGCATGCAATCCAGCACGAAAACAAGCATCGTGTGCCGCTGGCTTAAGTCTCCTTGGTCGGTCCGATCTTATATTTAAGATCGTCTTAAGCCGAATCTACATTGATCGTATCGTAACGTCGCAAGTCGTAAGTCGTAGGCAAATTCACCAATTATGGTTGATTATTTTTGAAATAATCGACTGGTTGGTCAATTTGTCTACAACTTACGACTTGCGACGTTAGAATACGACCAATGTACATCCGGCTTAAAGTTCGAGCTTGAAATGCTACGCAGCTATTTGATTGATTGAATAAGGTCTTAAGTCAACTTCGGACCAGACTTAAGACTATAGCACACACTTTCCATAAGATATAACAGTAAGGTTTCGACCAATCGCGTTGCTCAATTTGGTTACGGACAACCAAATTGAGCAACGCGATTGGCCGAAACCTTACTGTTATGTCTTATGGAAAGTGTGTGCTATAGCCTTAAAGCCTGGAGCACATAAAAAAACTTAGACAGTAAAGCCACTGCCTTATTGCTCGACTGTGTTGGTCAATTCGTTTAAGTCTTAAGTTTAACTGTCTAAAGGCTGTAGCGTCGTCTAGAAGAGATTTTAAAGAGACTTAAGACGTAAGACTTAAGAAATTAATCAATTACAATCGAATATTCTCTTAATACTTGACTGATTGGTCAATTTCTTAAGTCTTACGCCTTAAGGCCCGGTTCCCAACTCGCTTTAACCGAAGTTTAACTCGTTAAACCTGGCTTAAGGAAAATGTTGTGTTCCATAATTGCTTTAAACTGCGGTTAACGTTAATTTCTTGCGGTTAAAGTTAAACGCTCAATTTTGGGCGTTTAATGAAGATAAACGAAGTTTACTACTGCAGGGCCAATTTCAGTGTCAAAATTTCTTATCATCGAGAACTACAGTATAATAGTAAGCTACAACTTTTTGAGGTTATATTGATATAATTTAGATTTATACATTGAATAATGGCTTTAGAATACATATTATCTTCATCTGAAGATGAATATTTTGAAAATGTAATTTATCGACGCCCAAAAATTATAAGAAGACGACCTTCATACTTAGAAGAATTTGATGACGTCGATTTTCATGCACGATTTCGTTTATCAAAGAACTCTGTTATTACAGTGCTAGCAGAAATTGAGCAGGAAATTTCTCATAAAACAGAACTGTAAGTATATAAAAAGTATTTATATAAATATTGGATTTATTTTAATAGATAGATTACATATAGTATAGATCACATTCTATAATAGTAATATAGAATAGAATATAGTAGCATCTAAGTCTGTTTTATAATAGATCAATGATATTCAATTAATTTCATAATATATGAAATTATTATTAACAACTTTATAATTATGTTGATAATATGTTCAAATGCACAAAATTTAGTATATTTAGTATATTTAGTATATTTTACCAAATTTAGTATGTTTTACATTCTAACCATTATCTAGTAAACACCAATAAATTTGTAAAATATTTGTTAAATATTGCACAAATCATATTATATTAAAATCAGAAAATAATAACATTGATATAATATTATTATTGATTCATATTGATATAGAATAAAAAAGAAATAAAATGATTAATTCATATTAAATTTTATTGCTAGAAACAATGCAATATCTCCAATAGACCAGCTTCTTTTGACTCTAAGATTTTATGCAACTGGAAGTCATTTCTTATCAGCAGCAGATTTTTCTGGAGTGAGTAAAACAAGTTCTCACAGAATTATTCATCACGTGACTGCTGCTATTGTTCGTCTTCGACCAAGATATATAAAATTTCCTATGCTTGCTGATGAAATAAAAAGAGAACAGATACAGTTTTTTAATATTGCACGATTTCCAAGAGTAATAGGTTGCATAGATTGCACTCATATAAAAATACAGTCATTTGGTAAGTAATTTTTAACATTTTAAAGAAAAAATATGTTACATACAATAAAACAATAAAATTGAGTGCATATTTTTACATATAAAAGCCACACATACAATTTATTTCTTAAATTACATTTACATTAAAACAAATTTTTTTAACACATCGAAATGAGAATTTATTTATAATATATATACAGGGTGTCCCATTTTAATGCCCCACCCCAAATAACTTTCTTATTTTTAATTTTAGAAAAAGATGTTTCAGACAAAAGTTGTATGGTTTCGAGGGGGACATAAGATGGTACCATTAATTTGATCTTGAAGAGTCACATGAAGGTTACGTGAAGATCATTTTCAATTTCTTAAATGGAACACCCTATATATTTTTGCATATTCTTGTAGCTTATCTCGAGAGCTTTCCAAAACACTATAAATAAACATTTTTTCATCAAGTACGTTTCGAGTAATGAGGCTTGAAATCATTTCTTAATTTTACATAAACCATAAAATATCTTGTAAAATATTCATTTTTTGATTATCTTACCTTAATACTTTTATGTACAAAATAATGAGAGAAATCCATTGGTGCAAAGAAAACATACAGTTGTTTTTAAGAAAAAAATATGTAATTTGCAATTAACAATTCCATATTTTTTCTTAAAAACAACTGTATGTTTTCTTTACACCAATTGATTTCTCTCATTATTTTGTACATAAAAGTATTAAGGTAAGATAATCAAAAAATGAATATTTTACAAGATATTTTATGGTTTATGTAAAATTAAGAAATGATTTCAAGCCTCATTACTCGAAACGTACTTGATGAAAAAATGTTTATTTATAGTGTTTTGGAAAGCTCTCGAGATAAGCTACAAGAATATGCAAAAATATATAGGGTGTTCCATTTAAGAAATTGAAAATGATCTTCACGTAACCTTCATGTGACTCTTCAAGATCAAATTAATGGTACCATCTTATGTCCCCCTCGAAACCATACAACTTTTGTCTGAAACATCTTTTTCTAAAATTAAAAATAAGAAAGTTATTTGGGGTGGGGCATTAAAATGGGACACCCTGTATATATATATATATTATAAATAAATTTGATTGAAAAAATATAACTTTTCTCTAAATAAATTCAAATACACACTTCTACATTTTTATATTTCTCAAAATATATATCTTTTATTTATTATTTTTGATTTTTAATCAACAAATTAAATAAATTTGTATTGTATTTTGATTTTTGCTACATACAAATTTTCATTTATAACTGCAAGTTAACTAACAATTATTTATTTTAGGTGGAAATAACGTTGAATATTTTAGGAATAGAAAAGGATATTTTTCTATAAATGTTCAAGCAATTTGCAATGCAAATTTAGAGATAACTGATCTTGTGTCTCGTTGGCAAGGATCAGTGCACGATGCTACAATATTTAATAATTCCAGAATACGTGCCTTATTTGAAGCTGGAACGTTTCCTTATAGAATTGTGCAAGAATTTCCTTATTTTCTAAAAAAAATGATTCATTGTCAGCTTCATTTGTATTGCTGTTTGTGATCTGCAATTCTTCACTCTTCTTAGATTTCAGTGTGTCTAGTGTCCATCCAGCCTAAATTAAGGAATTCGAATTTTCTTCTTCAAGTGTCTATAACAAATATAAATATTTTAAGACACTAATGATATTTCACTAATAATATTTTAAACATCAAATATATAAGATAAATAAGTATACATATATATATATATATATATATATATATATATATATATATATATACATACAATATGTACCTCAATTTGGAAATATTCATTATTTTCTTCACAGTTTTCATCATTTTTCGACTGTTTGCTGCACTGAGGATTATCTATGTCTACAATACATATCATGCTTTATTATAACTTATTTGTTAATACTAACAAAGAAATTAATACTAACAAATAAATTATTGATTTTTATTTTTAAATTCTTGTCCTAAAAAGAATAATTTTTCAAGTAAAATTATTTTATAGTACGTACTTGACATATGATCACTGTCAAATTTATTTTGTAAACCTTCAACTGATGGTTGAATAATACTTTTTACTCTTTCAGCGATTGGATCAATGATATTGATCTTTCCACCACCTATAGAAATTACCAAATTAATGATATATGTACAGTTTATATAGATATTTTTATATTATATATTTAACATGCATATTAATATTTAATATTGTTTTATATGTATATTAAATAAAATCATTTAATATTTAATAAAATATTATAATAAGATGTACCTGTTTTAAAAACTTCATTACGGATTTCAGCGTAATATTTTCTAGTTTTCTTCTTCAAATTATCCCAACAATTCTTTAAACTTGTAATATCTCGATGTCCTGAGATAGAATTGCTATTAAATTCATTTGTGATTTTTCCAACAAGTTTCTTTATCTTTGACACTAACATTGTCCGTCTTTTTATTTTCTATAATGTTTTTTTTCGCGTTCTATTATTTCAATTAATTTTATTTTCTCTAAATTTGAGAAATTTTGTTGTCTCTTCTTCTGATTTAATTGATTCTTAGCCATTCTGTATATCACAACTTCTTTAAGACTACTTGCAAATCCGTAGCTATTAACACGTACACATAACCTGTACAAAATTTCAGCATGTTTAAATCTTCCCGGTCTTCATTTATCAGTAACCAATCACAATTTATGTTCGACAAGAAACAGAGTTTCTTCGTATAGATTATAGGTTTAACTAAACTGTCGTTAAAAACATGCTATGGATCGCAATACGAGTTTAACCATAGCGTTAAATATAACGTTCGTTCAAATAAGTTCGGTTTAAACTCGATTTTGTGGAACCGGGCCTAAGTCTTCTTAAAATCTTATTGAAGACGCCACTTATAGCACACACTTTCCATAAAGGTACAATTTCATTGACGCTAAAAAGTAGCGTCAACCATTGGTTGAATAAAGAAGTAAGTAGTTGCTTCTTTGTTCAACCAATAGTTGACGCTACTTTTTAGCGTCAATGAAATTGCATCTTAAAGGTGCGGCCTCATTGACGCTAAAAAGTAGCGTCAACCATTGGTTGAACAAGGAGGTAAGTATAGTTGCTTCATTGTTCAACCAATGGTTGACGCTACTTTTTAGCGTCAATGAGGCCGCATCTTAAGACATAACAGTAAAGTTTCGACCAATCGCGTTGCTCAATTTGGCTGTCGTAACCAAATTGAGCAACGCGATTGGTCGAAACCTTACTGTTATGTCTTATGGAAAGTGTGTGCTATAAGGCCGCAGCACACACTTTTGCATAAGCGCATAACCATAAGCATAAGAAAATTGATTAGTTCATTTTCTTATGCATATACTTGGGGACCAATCAATTTCCTTATGCTTATGGTTATGCTTATGGTTATGCGCTTATGCAAAAATGTGTGCTGCGGTCTATAGCCTTAAGTTTTTTTATGTGCTCCAGGCTTAAAATGTAAGATCGGACCATGGACGTAAGAAATACTGGACAGAGTGTATTGCTGCGGGGGTGAAGCTCAAAGGGTGAGAGGAAAGAAATGTCTACTGCAACGGAATATGAGGCATGTAAGATGGCGACGGATATTAATTTTACGGAGTGTGATATTTTTGAATTTCTTAATATTCAGAAATGATTCGGAATAACACAGCTATTTCAGATGATAGATTATTTCACGGAATCTCTCATATTTTATTCGATTTACGACCGTGCGACGTGAAAATAGATGCTAAATCTGAGGCATCTAAAATGGCCGCGACAATAAATCCCTTACCCCTCAGGCTTCACACCTAGAGAACCTCTAGGAGAGAGAATGGACAACTGATCATGTGACATGTGATCAAGCTTTTTCATGATTGGCTGGCAGAAAATGTATCAATTTTAGCTATTGCGACGCCAATGCAAAATATGATGACACACAAATAGGTTAATATATGTGTGTCATGTGTGTCCTATTTGTGTGTCATCATATTTTGCATTGGCGTCGCAATAGCTAAAATTGATACATTTTCTGCCAGCCAATCATGAAAAAGCTTGATCAGTTGTCCATTCTCTCTCCTAGAGGTTCTCTATTCACACCTCTTGTCTAAAAGAGTACTTTATCTGTCCTGTATTTCTTACGTCCATGGATCGGATTATGAATACCGGCCATTGTAGACGCCGCATAAAGTCCGTGACGAAGCAGTCTCGTCTTGATTGGTTGAATTCCGATTCGCAATTCGCATATCAATTCAATCCGCATCCGCAATGCGTTGTGTGACACGGGCTTAACGCGTTGCCACGTCCTGTGTACAGGAGCCTTTACAACTATATTTGCTTGGACCTTGTGATTCACAAATTGTTAAATCAACTAATTTCGGGAATAATTCTACTCATAATCGCGATCAGTTCTTACAAAACGCAGATCTTGTGTATAACGAATCATTGGCCAATTAATTTAAAAAAAGGTTTCGCGTACATAGTACTTCAATTGTCATCGATCCCTATTGTAGAGAAAATTCTCGCGCGTTGCTTAGTTGGGTGGTAACCATTGTATTAGGCGTTGCGCCGATGCATTGTGTGTAACAGTGTGTAGTATACATTGAAGTGTCATGAAAAAGTGATTATCACATTGAGTGAAAACTATCCATTTCGAAAATAGGATATGCGATGCGAAGCTTTCAAGGAGAATAATCTAGTGAAGAAAAGTTGTTTGTAATAGAGAAGCCAACATATATAACTCTTAAGTTCATATTCTGATGGCAGAAATACACAAAAATAATTCTTATGTTCGTTCATGACGATAGATATACAAAAATTATCATGTAAAGTCCTTTTCGTACATATTTATAAAGTTGCGAATTTAATTTAATTATTAAGTTTTGGAAGGTCTGATAGCTTTCTTGGAGTTTTTTATTTAAAAAAGAAACGTAATGAAAAAATTTTTAAATAAATAGAAGGTTAAAAAGGAAGAAAGAAACAAATATTTTACACTTTATTATCACAGCTATATAAAATATGTGAGTGAAGATGTCAAAACTGAGGCTATGTATTACCACATTCTTGAACAACATTGAGCTTCCTATAACTTGTGAATAAAGTCGTAAAACAAAGGAAAAAGGTATACAGATAAAGTATTGAACTTATTTACAATTTCATTTTATCATGAATATTATTACACTTTATATTTATTACCATTATTACATATGCTATATGATATATCACATATATTTAATATTAAATATATCCTTTCATATTAGTGAATTATAGATTATATGATAAAATATCATTTACGATATCATATAAATGCTTATTTGTAAGATTGTCTAGAGAAGATAATTTAAATTATATGTTATGTCTTTTATAGGAAGTGAGAGAGGCGGGTTTTTACAAAATATTTAACATTAATGAAATAGTTTATCACTTAAAAATATTATTTGTTATATATATTTTATATATAATATATATAATATGAGTTTTATATATAATATGAATAAGAAAATTATATAAAATATATCAAATTATTTATAAATTTAATAAATTCTTAACCTAACTTGCAAAGAATAAAGAATAACCTGTACAAATTATAGGGCTTTTTATGCAAATATATCTTAAATGGGAAACAAAATTGATGATTTTGGAAATATGAAGCTCTCAACTATTCAAGAGAGCGAAAGAAAACTGCCCCAAAACCGAATCTCTAATGATGAGATCACAATGAATGATACTATTAATGATAAATGTCTAGAAGATAACAGAACTTTAGCAAGGGAAGAGGGTCCTATGGTATCAAATCTCCCTCTTTTATTTGCTAATGGATATCCTACATCTTTGGAGAAAATTACAATGGTGTATAAAATTTAATCTAATATATCTTCTATTATTTTGATATGCTCTACATTGAATTATTTTATATTTTGTAATTAAATAATTTAAAGTAAATAAAACTACACGATAACTTAAATTCTATTTATGAATATTCATAAACATGTATTAATGAATACTATATTCTGCAGGTACAATTGGAACGTTTTATATTGTTTATGGTTCATTGTTCATTAGGCCATGATACTACTAAGGTTATTAACAGACCCAAGTGGTGGCCTCAAGATGTTAAATTTTCAAATCCACTAACAAGACCTAAAAAGATAAATGATGTAAGCAATCTTTTATTATTTATTATTATTATTATTTTTTATTATTATTATTATTATTATTATTATTATTATTATTATTATTATTATTAATAACAATATCTTAGGCCTCTCTTATAGATTGAAGTATTATAAAACCACATAAACTGTTTTTTCAAAAACATTGATTCAAGAATGTCATTTTAGAATTGGATGGCAAACCTAAAAAAATTGGTTTTTCGATGTTACACATACCATAGAAGTGAATATTTGTTACGTTTTTGCTCTTATTTAGCAGAATATCCTCATGAAGAATTAGAATATGTTAATAATTGGGATTCAACAACTAGTTTATATCATAAAAGTACAGGGAAGCTATTAGTGACCTTTCGCAATGAAAACATGGTGTGTATGTTTCGAATCCTAAAATATAAATAGAATTATATTATTCTGAAATATAGAATTATATTAGAATTTAAAAAAAAAGTGTATATATATATATATATATATATATATATATATACACGAGGATCGTTTGATAAATTTGGTAAAAAAGCAAGTAAAACACATTGTTTTGGAAAAAATCTACGTTATTTCTCAACATAGTCTCCATTGAGGTATCTATACACTTGGTCGAACGAGATTCCAATTTTTTAACCGTCGAAAAAATAGACTGTCTCAAAACTTGCAAAATACTCGTTGAATTTCACCGAAATTTACCAAACTTATCAAACGACCCATGTATATATATATATATATATATATATATATATATATATATATATATATAGAGAGAGAGAGAGAGAGAGAGAGAGTTTAATGTATCTTGCTCTTTTTGATTTAATAAATGAGAAAGTTTCTTATGTTTACAGTATTATGACAAAAAAAATGACAGTCCTCGAAGAACACTGTTATCTCATAATGCATCTTCATCAGGTTATGGAAGTAAAACTAAACAACAAGCCTCCATGATGGTTCAATCACCATGTGATGATATTTATTTGTGTGATAATTGTGATGCTGAATTCATAGGTCTTGCCAAAATGAAGGTATTCTGTCATCAGATTTATCACATAACTCATTTCTTGTTATATATTAAATTTATTATATGATAAAATGTTTAACATTATTTATTTATTTATTGTTTAGCAACACGAAAAAATGTGTTGCGGACAAGACCATGGTAATGGCTCACGCTCGCCTACCCCAGATCTATCTATAGTCGAGCCTGAATTACAACAGGATCAATTTCTGGAATATTTCCAATTATCTTCAAATAAGACTGAAACTAAGTCCATTTGTGCGAATAACGCGAGTGTTCCTGATAACAATATTGTTAGACGAACTTCTCGGCGTGTTAGGAGTTCTTTTAGTTTCGCGCGGTACGCCACTATTCCATTCTCATCGCCCGCAGGTATAATACTTGCCAAAAAATCGAAAGCGATGACTGAAGACACGCAACAAGAACGATTAGATAGAATCGAAAGGCATGTTATTGCACCTGTATTGAACGATTCATACAGACCAAAATGGCTAGACACAGAAGTAGATTGTGATAGATGGATAGTGACATACAAACAAAACCGAGATAAACTGACAAATGATTATGTGCATCAATATAAATTTGTGAACTCTTTTAAAAGCAAACCAAGTATGTACCTTATTATATTAAATATTATACATTTTAATATCATTAGGCATTATATATTTTACTTTGCTATTATCAAAGTGATACAAATTAATTGAAATACAATCAATCTTTCGTATTATCTACTCTATTTTTATAGTCTCTACTTTCTTTTCTTCACTGTTTTTCTGTTATTGTATATTTGCATGACTATATGGCTATACATAAAATCAAAAAGAAAGTGAAACAGATATATTATACATCTATATAACTTTATTTTCCAATATAGATAATTTCCTTTATCAGTTTTATATATATATATATATATATATACAGGGTGGGGCATTTATCTTGAGACATCGAAATATCTCGTAAAGTCTAAAAGATACGAAAAAATGTTTCAGACAAAAATTGTATGGTTTCAATGGGGACATAAGATGGTGTCATTAGTTTGATGTTGAAGAGCTATCTGAAGGTCACATAAAGGTCATCTCCAACTTTTTAAATGGGACACCCTATATGTTTTTGCATATTCCTGTAGCTCATCTCGAGAGCTTTCCAAAACACTATAATTAAGTTAGTTTTCATTAAGTACTTTCCGAGTTATGAGGCTTGAAATTATTTCTTAATTTTACATAAACCATAAAATACCTAGTAAAATATTAATTTTTCGATTCTTACCTTAATGCTTTTATGTACAAAATAATGAGAGAAATCAATTGGTGTAAAGAAAACACATAGTTATTTTTAAGAAAAAATAATTAATTGTTAGTTGCAAATTACATATTTTTTCTTAAAAATAACTATGTGTTTTCTTTCCACCAATTGGTTCCTCTCATTATTTTGTACATAAAAGCATTAAGGTAAGATAATCGAAAAATAAATATTTTACTAGATATTTTATAGTTTGTGTAAAATTAAAAAATGATTTCAAGCCTCATAACTTGGAAACTACTTAATGAAAACTAACTTAATTATAGTGTTTTGGAAAGCTCTCGAGATGAGCTACAAGAATATGCAAAAGCATATAGGGTGTCCCATTTAAAAAGTTGGAGATGACCTTTATGTGACCTTCAGGTGGCTCTTCAAGATCAAACTAATAACACCATCTTATGTCCCCCTTGAAACCATACAATTTTTGTCTGAAACATTTTTTCGTATCTTTTAGACTTTACGAGATATTTCGATGTCTCAAGATAAATGCCCCACCCTGTATATATATATATATATATATATATATATATATATATATATATATATATATAATGTACAAAATATTGTATACTAATTGATTGATCTTATGAAATAAATCATCTAAACATTTTTAATATTATAGTGATGATATATAAGATACATTGATTTTTACTCAATCAAATATCAATATTAAAATAAATATGAATATGAAAACTAAAATATTGAATAAATAAGCTACATAATTGTAAAACAATTATAAATTATAAAATTTAAATATAGAGAAAAAAAAAGATCAAAATGACCATTAAATTGTTTCATTAATCTTTAAAAATCACATATTGATCATTTTTATCTTATTGATATTTTAACAATAGAATGTTCCAAAGACTTTAATTAATAAAAAAAGTTAAAAATTTGTTTTAATTTTTGTTGATGTGATTATTTTCTACAGATATAAAAAAAATACATATAATTTTTTGTAATTTTTTCAAGCATTTTGAGACAACTGAAATTGCTATTGTAATCCATATTGTGACTCAGGAACAGAGTAGAAAAATCTAACTTACAAGAGTTAAAGATGAATTGCGTGTGTGTATGTGTGTGTGTGTGTGTGTGTGTGTGTGTGTGGTGTGTGTGTGTGTGTGTGTGTGTGTGTGTGTGTGTGTGTGTATTGTGTGTGTTCATATTGTTTATTTATTAAATTAATTGAAATACTATATATACAAAATGAGAAAAGAAATAATATAATCTTATATTTACGAATAAAATCATGAATATATATAGTCATATAGTTATGTAAATTAAATAATAGAAAAGCAGCAAAAAGAAAAATAAGATTGATTAAGAATGAAAGTAAAAAAAAAAAATATATATATATATATATATATATATATATATATATATATACACTGGATGTGTTAAAAAAGTTTGGACACGGTCGAATATCTCGATAAGGAAGATTTATACTAGAAAGTGTTTCACACAAAAGTATGGCTTGAAGGGGGCCATCAGATGGTGGCAATGATTTGGAGTCATTTGAAGGTCACCGTCAATTTTTTAAATGGAGCAAAATATTTTTTATTGCATATTCGTGTGGCTTATCTCGAGAGCTTTTAAAAACACTACAATTAAGTTAGTTTTCATTAAGTACTTTCCGAGTTATGAGGCTTGATATCATTTCTTAATTTTACATAAATCGTAAAATATTTAGTAAAATATTCATTTTTCGATTATTCTACCTTAATACTTTTACTTGTACAAAATAATAAGAAGAATCAATTGGTGTAAAGGAAAAACATAGTTGTTTTTGAGAAAAAATATAGAATTGTTAATTGCAAATTACAATTTTTTCTTCGAAACAATTATGTGTTTTCTTCACACCAATTGATTCCTCTTATTATTTTGTACATAAAAGTATTAAGGTAAGATAATTGAAAAATGAGTATTTTACTAGATATTTTATGGTTTATGTAAAATTAAGAAATTATTTCAAGCCTCATAACTCGAATCAATCGGTGTAAAGAAAACATACAGTTGTTTTTAAGAAAAAATATGGAATTTTTAATTGCAAATTACATATTTTTTCTTAGAAACAACTATGTGTTTTCTTTACACCAATTGATTCCTCTCATTATTTTGTACATAAAAGTATTAAGGTAAGATAATTGAAAAATGAATATTTTACAAGATTATATTTACAAGATTTTATGGTTTATGTAAAATTAAGAAATGATTTCAAGCCTTATAACTCAAAAAGTACTTAACGGAAAGGTACTTAATTATAGTGTTTTGGAAAGCTCTTGAGATAAGCTACAAGAATATATGTAATGAGAAAATGTAGGTTCCATTTAAGAAATTGAAGGTGACCTTCGTGTGACCTTCAAATAACTCTTCAAGGTCAAACCAATGGTACCATCTTATGTCTCCCTCGAAACCATACAACTTTTATCTGAAACATTTTTCTCTAAACTCAACAGCGTTGGAAATATTCGCCTGGCTAGATTAAAATGAAACACTCTGTATATATGTATATATATGTGTGTATATATATATATATGTATATATATATATATATACACACATATACATACACACACACATACACATACACACAGAGTGTCCCATTATAATTTTCGGATCAAAATATCTTAATTTCATGAGATTATAGAAAAAAATGTTCAAACTAAAGTTGTATGGTTTCAAGGGGGGGCATAAAGATAGTGACAATTATTTGGCCTTGGACAGTCGTTTGAAGGTTACATGAAGATCATCACCTTCAAATTCTTAAATGGAAATCCTCATTTTTTTTTACATATTATTTACTTCGAGAGCTTTTCAAAACACTATAATAAAGTATTTTTTCATTGAATACTTTTCGAGTTATCAGACTTGAAATAATTTCTTAATTTTACAGTAACCTTAAATTATTTAGTAAAATACTCATTTTTCGATTATCTTACCTTAAACTTTTATGTATAAAATAATGAAAGGAATCCATTGGTGTAAAGAAAACACATAATTGTTTCGAAAAAAAATGTAATTGTTAAGTGCAAATTACATATTTTTTCTCTTCAAAAATATTTTTACATACAAAGATACATTTTAGAATAGATTTTTTTTATTAATCATTTATTATAATAAATGTTCAAAATGTTATCCATTGTTTTTTGAACAAAAATATGAACGATTCTCAAATTCTGAATGAACTTTTTGAAAAGTTGCTACAGGAGCTAGCTGTGCATTCTTATACAATTCTTCAATGCAAATCGTTTATATTTTCTACTAATATTTCATAAACAACGGATTTTAAGTGCCCCCACGGAAAAAGTCTTTCAAAAAATTTTCGAAGAAGTAGCTACCTTGATAAAAAAGATGAAAAAATTTCGTTTACATTTAATGTACTTAAATGTATTCTCGAAAACAAAATTGACGTCTTTTGGCATTTTTCGCAAAAAATAGTAAATCGTGAAATAAATGAATGGAAAGTTTTAAAATGAACATTCTGCATATATATTTATTTATTTATCTGTGATTTTATATAAAGAAAAGTAGAGATAGTATAGATAATATTACATCAAAAAATTATCATAATTGAAATATAAAATATAAAATATATAATATAAAATATATACATATCAGAATTTTTTAAAAAGTACATACAATTTATGTTCTTTTTAGTGCTGAATATACGATCACAATTGCTATACGCCACATGTCGACCAATTTATGTTATTCTTACTCGCCTGAGTGAAAAACAAATTGATGAATTAAAGAAGGATTCCTCAAAATATCAATGTCCTCAGAAAAATATTAATGTACGAAAAGTTTTATTAATGAGAAGAGTGGGTCCAGCTTGCAAAACAAAACTGAAAAAGGCAACTTTTGAAAATGCGTCGTTTGTATCTTCGAAACGTAAAGCACCATCGGGAAATGAATTAGATCCGATTATTATTGAAGATGAAGATATTAGTACAACAACTAAAGAGACTTTAATTACATTTGCTGCTATAAAATCATCTGTGGATAATATGGAGACTATAAAACCAATCAAAGAAAGGAAATGTCCATCGAATACAATAATGTTAATTGATCTCTGTTCATCTGACGAAGAAGAAAATGATCAGAATAATCGAACAACTTGCGACGAGAATAGAGATCCTATGATTACCATGGATTCTCCAAGTGCAAAATCTCTCCTGCGAAAATTGACGCCGAAACAAACTTTACGCGAAACTTTGCATTTACCACGTACACTTATTGACAGATTAGTTATCGAACAACATGTGGAACGAAGATAAGAACAAGAATAAATTTTATCCGTTAAATGGACATGTATGTTTCTTTTTCTGATCATGGGTACTTTATATAAGATATTATTGAGATAATAACTTATTCAATTTTTATGTTATATTTCTTATCCTATTTACATATTTATTATCCTATTGATTGATTAATTGATAATAATTGAATAATTCATACTAAATTATCATTATTATAATTTCACGATATTTGAGGAATACAAATGAAGTTATAAATGGAATAGATCAATTGATCAAAAATTAGAATTATAGAATATGTAGAAATTTGTTGTCACACCTACAAAATATGATGAAATATGATTATAATATATATAGGCATATTATAATTTTCAATATAAAATAAATTTCAATTTTTAAAATAGATATGGATATCAAACTATGTACATATAAGGTTTTGAATAGAATATATGCACTTTTTAATATTTTCCACAGTAGATACTGAGAAATTTTATAATATTGCAAGCATTGTTTGAAAATTAAAAGTATTTTTTAGTTACTTATAGCGTATGAAGCAAATATTTCTCGTTAAACAAGAAGTTGAACGATTATTTTTAATTTTTGGAATAGCATAACAGAAATTCCTATATCTGTATTAATAAAATTTATTTAATATATAAAGAAAATATGTGAATATATGATTTATTTAAATGAGAAATACATTGTACATACATTTATAATACATATGTTCATTTATAGTTTTATTCTTGTTTTCTCTTTATTCTAAAAGTTTTTTCTACGAAGAAGGAAAACAATTTACTTTTCCAATCCTTTTCAATACGCTTCAAGACTAATCTTTTTGTGGAAATATTGTGAAGAGGACCGAATGCTAATGCGACGGCCGTACATGCAAGGCATATGACATTGTAAGGCATACTGAAATCGGGAGTCGGAAGACTGATAAGTAAGGACTCTGTCCGTAATTGTACTAAATAGTCATCCCTCGAAGCGTTAAAACTGCAAGTTTAGTTATTGTCGATATGAGTTATTTATACAGTTTATTCTGCTTATGATAAAAAAATTTTCCGTTTTTGTATTAGTTATTGATAAGAGAATTGCTAAGAAAACGAACCTTGAAGTGATTGTACTTCCGTCAAACGGCAGAGCGGTATAATTTCTAGCTATAGGTAATAAAGCTGTAACTATGGCTGGTCCCATGTAAAAACCATGATTAGCGTCTGGTGGATACTCCTGCCATTTAAGAAATAAGTAATCTATATCGATAGTGATTTTCATTACTGAATATGGAGGTAGGCGCAAAATTAATTCTAAGTAGTACGGGCTTTTTCTTTCCTTTCCAGGTAGATAACGCTGTATCACTGTAATATACACAATATTAAAAATAATATTACAAAATATATGTATCAATATTTAATGATGTATATTGTAAAGTTGTCATATAATAAAACTTCTTTTGTAAATTTTACCGATTGCTTATATTGTATATACGTTATAGATTGTGAATAGATAATAGTCAATCCTAGAGATCTTTAGATTCAATCCTTTAGATTATTGTTTTGTATTTTATGTTTACTTACATGGATGAATTTGTTGTCCATTCTGAGTTATTGTAATAGAATGTAAGTAAACCAATAAGTACCATGGAATATTTTCCAATAAGATCACGTCTAATGTCTGCCAGTGATTGTTATATAATTTAGTTACTAAACTGCCTCTTTCTTGTCCATATCCTGAAAAATTATATATTAATATGTATGTATGTGTGTAAATTTATTTGAGCTTTTTAAAATGGAAAAAGTTATTTGTTATATTATAGGTAATATCATTGTAAATTCAACAAATACTGTGAAAATATCACAATAGAACAAAGAATGATGCAACTTATATGTATCGATTATTTATCAAACACTGATTAATAATATTCAAAATTTTCAAAAAGAAAAATAGAGTTTGTGCAACTTGACTCTAAATAGTAGTTCTTCTTTTAATAAATTATTAATAGTTATTAAACTACTATAATAATTTATAATAATTTAGTAAAGAAAAAGACTTTTTTGTATTCCATATAAAAGGAAACATACAAAATTTGATCATTGTTTATACAAATTGCATATTTTTGTTCTTATGATGCAAATGATATTTCCAATATGATAGTCATTTTTTACTATTTTATATTTCTATTATTAAAAAGAAAAAACAGAATTTTTTAAGAAAAAATATTTTCGACTTTTTATTATAAATTACAGTTTGTATGGAACAGATAAATTTGTTTTTTTTTTCTTACAATTAGATTATTAGAAGATTAAACACAAAGAATTTAAAAATCCTGTGAATAAACATCCTATATAAATAATATATAAACACACACATAAATATTCAAGATGAGTTATACAATTTACATAGAGTTTATATAATTATGATTTGTCAATTTATTATAAAGAAATAAGTAGCACAATAATAATTATTTTTTGTGATTTCTTTTTTTCTTAATAGCATGTATGATGTACTCGAAAAGTGCAACTACATCCTTTTTTAATAAAATTAATCTTATTTTATATATAAATAGAAATTTCTATTATTTTATATATAAATCGATTGTTCAAAATATTCAACATAAGAAATTATAAGAGTAGAATAGCCAAAAATTGCATAATTTACAAATTATTTTAGTTTAGTCGAATTTCAAATATGAATATTTTACACTATTTAACTTCAAATATGAATATATATTTTGTAAAATATTCATTTTTTTTCAACATTTTACAATACACTTCATAAAATATCTCATATTATACATTCAATTTTTAGCGACATTGTGTAACTTTTTTATGCTGAATATTCTAGGAATCAATTTATGTAAAAAAAATTTTTAAATTTTATTATAAAAGAATTAATGATTCTTTTCTGAAATATTGTTGCATGAAAAATAAGATCATAGAAAGATAATAATACACCATTCAATTATTTCCTCTATCACTTTTTTATTATATTCAATAAAAAATAACTTAAAAAGATTAATTATTTTAGTTTTTTTTTATAACTGAATGATTTCTAAATTATTCCATCACGTTATAATTTAAAAAAATGTTATTAAAATATAAGAAATAGCTATATTAATGTATTTTGTTATATTGTAGTTGATATGTAACTCGTTTGAAAATTGTATTGCAAAATTAAAAGTAAATATTATATTAAGTTAAATATTATATATTTTAGAACAAATTGGTTATGTTGATTATTATTAATAAGATATTAATAGTTAAATATAAGATTTGTTGCGAATTAGATTATTGAAGATCTGTATTAAATATTCCATTATATTTATTAAACTTAAGAATTTTTAAGGTTGTTTAATATGTAATGAAATGATATTGACATTAAAATTATACAAAAAATTTTTGTAAAAAATATGTTTTAACTTTGTAACTATATTACATATATAAATATATGTATATAAATCAAGAGACATGGTAGTATCTCGTGCCAAGCTCTCGTGCGAAACATTAGCGCGGCACTCCGTGCATCTATACCCGAGTCGGACAGTTGAGAGTAACTCAGATTATCGAATTTCAATAACGGCTGGACGGATTGAATTCTTACTAGCCTTAATCGATAGAGCGGGTTTGAATTGTATAGAGAAAGTATCTTTATTTTTATGCTGCGTGATCTATAAACGGAGATATCATAACGCAAAATCGAGGAAATATGAAAATTTTCAATTAGAAACGTCTTAGATCATCATCGCACATGTACACAACACATAGAAAGAGAAACCGTACATTTCCTACTCTCGACAGAAGATTGCGCTAATGATGCTTTGATATCAATGATATGTGTCATTAGTATGACATGTATCATTAACCGCATTTTGAGTATGATAAATAATAAAGCGCAAGTAAAATAATAAATAATTAAATTATTAATTAAAAATTCGCAAAAGCAAGGTATGATAATTGGAGCGCATTGTAAATAAATATATCTATTTTACAAGCCAAATATAAATATATAGAATATAATAATAACACACACACATTTTATTTATATATATATATATATATATATATATATTTTTTTTTTTTTTTTAATATCTCTCTTTTTGATATCTCTTAGCAAATTATATTAAAAAAAGAAGTGATAAAATCCCCCAAAAAAAGGTAAAAAAAGGGCATCAAGTTCATGCACTAATTATTATAATTTAAAATTTTTTAATTATTATAATTCTTATATTATGTTCACAAATTATACTTTTTACTTTATAAATTTTTATAAGATTTATTCAAGCTTATGTTTTTTCTGTCATATCAATTTTATATAGAATGGAAATCTAAAAGATTGGAACATATTCCAATTATTAGTCTAACATTTAAATTTAATGACTTAATTTCTTTAATTAATTTATATTGATTTATATTTGGAAATTTAGACTTTTAAGCCAAACAATATATTAATAAAATTGGCAGCGCCAAGTTTTTTAATTAAAATTTTTTTACTTTTTTGTTTTATATTAATTTTCAGTTTTCAATTTTAAATAAATTTTTAATTTTTTAATATTATTATTTTTGAAAATTAAAACAACTATTTTGTATAACAATGTTTTCAATTAAAATATTTCTATTTAACTTGTACAAATTTCCTTCTATTTATCTTGTACAAATTTTTATTTTTAGTTGGCGCAGTTTTTTATATCACTACTTTTGTGGACAATATGACAGTTGGATACAATTAGTGCATGAACTTGTGCTCTTTTTTTACCTTTTTTTAAAAGATAAGTTTTTTGGGATTTAAATATATACAGGGTGGGGCATCTAAAACAGGTTACCTGTCGGAATAACTCAGCTGCTTTTGGTGATAGAAAAAAAGCTTCAGACCACATTTGTTTGGTTTTGAGAACTATAACCTGAGATCAAATGATTTGCAATTAACAATTACATATTTTTTCTTAAAAATAACTATGTGTTTTCTTTACACCAATTGATTCCTCTCATTATTTTGTACATAAAAGTATTAAGGTATGATAATCGGAAAATGAATATTTTACAAGATATTTTAGGATTCATGTAAAATTAAGAAATGATTTCAAGCCTCATAACTCGGAAAGTACTTAATGAAAACTAACTTAATTGTAGTGTTTTGGAAAGCTCTCGAGATAAGTTGCAAGAATATGCAATAAAAAGTAGGCAGTTCCTTTTAAAAAATCAAAGTTGATCTTCGTAGCTTCTCCATCCTTTTATCTACAAAAAAACCATTGATCTCAGGTTAGGTTCTCGTAAAACCAAGCAAATGTGGACTGAAGCATTTTTTTCTATCACCGAAAGCAGCCGAATTATTCAAATAGCCTGTTTTAGATGTCCCACCCTGTATATACAGGGTGTCCCAGACCACCCGTCTCACCCGATTTTTTCGTAAACGCGACATTTTAAAGAAAAATGTTTCAGACAAAAGTTTTGTGACTTCGAGGAGGACATAAGATGGTGTCATTGGTTTGACCTTGGATAGTCGTTTGAAGATCACGTGAAGGTCACCTTTAATTTCTTAAATGGAAACCCCCATTTTTCAATGCATATTCTTGTAGCTTACCTCGAGAGCTTTCCAAAACACTATAATTAAGTACCTTTTTATTAAGTACTTTTTGAGTTATAAGGCTTGAAATAATTTCTTAATTTTATTTCTTAATTTTAAACCATAAAGTATCTAGTAAACCATTCATTTTTCGATTATCTTACCTTCATACTTTTGTATACAAAATAATGAGAGGAATCAATTGGTGTAAAGAAAACATACAGTTGTTTTTAAGAAAAAATATGGAATTGTTAATTGCAAATTACATATTTTTTCTTAGAAACAACTATGTGTTTTCTTTACACCAATTGATTCCTCTCATTATTTTGTACATAAAAGTATGAAGGTAAGATAATCGAAAAATGAATGGTTTACTAGATATTTTATGGTTTATGTAAAATTAAGAAATTATTTCAAGCCTTATAACTCAAAAAGTGCTTAATAAAAAGGTACTTAATTATAGTGTTTTGGAAAGCTCTCGAGATAAGCTACAAGAATATGCAATGAAAAATAGGGGGTTCCATTTAAGAAATTGAAGGTAATCTTTATGTGACCTTCAAACGACTATCCAAGGTCAAACCACTGACACCATCTTATGTCCCCCTTGAAACCATACAACTTTTGTCTAAAACATTTTGTTGTATCTCACCAACATTCCGAGATATTTTCCATTATAGATTAAAATGGTCCACCCTGTATATATATATATATATATATATATATATATATATATATATATATATATAATTGCGCCATTTTTAATTTGTCAATTTAATTGGATTCATATTCACTGATCTCAAAACAATCTTTAAATTTAATTAACAATATCGATAAATAAAAGCTATTTAATAGATTCTCAATGATAGATTAAATATTTTATAAATATTTTATTAGCTATAATTGATGCACAAATAAATTGCTTTTTCAAAAAACTGTTTTATAAATAGATAATTTGATTATATAGTTAATATAATTGTAATAAAATATGTAATAATATAATTAATTTGATTGTAATTAAACTTCTTTAGCACATGTTAATACTAAAGTTATAATATAACAAAGTATATTAAAATATTATCATTTATTAAAAATATTATCATTTCTTATATTTTAACTACAAATTTCTCAAAATCATGATAGAAGAATTTGAAAACTGGAATTGTATTATTGC